ACCCCTCCAGTGCCCTGGTGGGGATATGTGTGGGGTGCATATCCCACTTGGGCTGGATGCCTGGCACTAGTTGAGCATGGTCTTCCCACTCAGGTCTTCCCACTGCTGAGTTCATGGGGCCCCATCAGATCTCCCAAGCTGTCCGTGCCTGCCGGTGCTGTCTGGGGCACCTGGGGTCCCTGTGGCCCTTGTGAAGATCAAAGCCACTCTCAACCAGCTTCCCTGGGCAACACCACTTCCTGTGCTCAGTCCACCCCAAGGACCACATAGGGAGCAGCAGGGTGTCTGCTGGCATGTGTAAGAGGATGCACATGGAGGGGCCTGTGGTACCCCACTGTGGTGCTACTGAATTTGCAGCTCTCAGGAACTCTGGCTTTCAGCAGAGCCAAGGCTGCCCCACGACTGTAAGCGAGGTACAAGTCTGGCTGGGACAAGTGCCCTGCACATATGTCTCCTAGCACACTAGTAGAGGCCTAGCTCATGCAATGAGCCTTGTCTATGTCCAGCTATGGCCTCGCCTGTCCCCGCTAGTTGGATGCCTCCATCGCCCGTCCAAGGACACTCCAATAAGCCATCCTGTTAGGCCAAATATATCACTCCCCCTTTGCCACTCCCTCTTTCAAAACTTCATAATTGCTGGCTGAACTTACTAAAAGTGGAAGCGTTCCAGAAACCTCCCCGGAGTCTGCTTGGTGATTCCTTGCCTTGCCCTCCCAGTCCGAGCTCCTGAACCTTTGTTCGCGAGTGGGCTCGTGGACAAAAACAGCACAGTATGACCTGAATGAGCGCAAGAAGTCACAGCACATGTTTACAGCCAGGGGAATGAGTGTGCACACAGGACCCCGGGGTAGGTGCTGTCCTTTCCACGTTTCCTCACCGACCCTGACAGGTCCAGGGACTCCTGTGCAGAGATGCAGGTGTGCAGCTGGGCACTTGGGACAGGCAGGGAGAGCCAGTTCCCTGAGGCTCAGGTGTAGGTGCAGGGGGCAGGAGGGAACTAGACCTGTGCTGGGGGTCAGTCAGGAAAGCTGAGTGCCCTGAATCCCTGGGCCTGGCCGCGGTGGCCTGGAAGGACAGTGGGATCCTGCAGAGGGGCTTCTTACCCCTTAAATCCCTCCCCCAAGGGTAGAGACAGGATGGGGCTGGTCTCAGGGCTGGTGGTTCCCACATCCCTGCTTTGGACACCTGGCCAGGGTGTCCAGGCCACTGCCACCCTCTGGTGGCCGTGGGGCACAGTGCAGGAGGCCCCAGAGTGGTGCTATGGGATGGGAGACACTGTCTTGGTTCAGTCTGGGACACTCCCTACAGACACAAAAGAATCATCATTTGCCAAGTCTGTTTTAAAAGTCTTGGGCATTCACAATTATGGACAGACAGACTGACACAAACAGCAGATCAGAGCAGCTGCCCGGTATGGGCTACTGGCTGCCCCAGGCCTGTGCAGTCCTGAGGACCTGGACCAGCAGCCCCCCTAGCCAGCAGACAACCTACAATTAGTGGTCAGGGGTCTGGGGGTTGCAGCCCCTTTCTAGGGCTATGGCTGAGCCCAAGCCTCTGGCTGCTGGGGTGGGGCCTTCCTGCCTGAAGCCCTGACCTTGGCCTTGCCCACCCTCTCCATGGGGACAGAAGGCCTGGCTGGCAGTGGCCAGGCTCCAGCCCTGAGCCCACCTGGTTTCCCGTGTTCCCTAGCTGGGCACATCTGGGCAAGGCCTGTGATGGCAACCAGGGCCTCCAGGCTCCCTGCAGCCCCTGAGGTGAGCCCTCAACAGGTCACCAGTGCCACCTGGCTAGCAGCTCCTGCCACTTCCACTGGTAGCAGCAGGGGGCAGTGTGGCTCCAGAGACGCCAGTGTGGGCAGCCAGCCCCATCCTTTTGCCCAACCACTGGGCAGGAGCAGGGGCAGGGCTGTTTCCTGCAGCCACCCCTGGCCTGGACCAGTCAGCTGGTGAACATGCTGCATCTGAAGAGGAGGCCCAGCACGTGGGCCCTCCCCAGCCTTCCCACACCCTCCGGCAGGTGTCCCCGCCAGGTGTGGCAGGTGACCGGTCTCAGCCTAGTGTTGACCTTGCAGCCACGGCCCCACTGTGTTGTGCTCCAGGGCATGAGGGCCGGTGGCAGGGATGGCCAGGGAAGAGGGATCACCCAGATGCTCTCCCGAGTGGCCCGGGGCCACACACATGACCCAAGACTCCAGGAGGAGGTGGTGTCAGGGCTGCAGGGTGCTAGGTGCTTCCTGGCACTCCGGTCCCAGCTGCCACAGAGACTGGGAGGTCCTGGTTCTGGGTCCTGGGCACGTGGAGACCAGGATGGGTCTCTATGCCTCCTCTGCCCACTGTTTTTCCCACCCAGCCTGGCGCCTCTGTGGGGCAGAGGGGAGCGGGGTAGGAGCATGGAGTCCTGGGGTGCACAGGCAGCCAGCTCTGCCATGCCCCTTCCAGGCTGCTCCATTGTCTTTCAATTGACATCAAGTAGAAGGCAGCACATCTGGAACAGGGACTCCCAGCCGCTGTAGAAATCACATTAAGGACCCTTCAGAGTAAAGCAGGGCTGCAGTGGAATTGATTTCGCAGATGCCTGGCTGCTGCTCCTCTGGCCCTCCAGGCTGCAGTCCAGGTGGTGGAGGCCACACCGCCAAGAGGACAGGACACCCCTCTGTGGTTGCGGGGCCGGGGAGAAAGGCTGTGCCCGCTGGGGACTTCTCCTGCCACCGCCGTTCTCCTCCACACAGGGTGGGCTTGGGCACCCACACCCCAGGGATGCAGGGTCAGCAGACAGCAGTCGCCAGCCTCCAGGCCAGGCTGCAGGTGCACAGAGGATGGGACTAGCAATGGCCGGTAGTGGCCTTCTGACCTCAGCCGCTTTCCCTGTTGCCCAGAGGCAGAGCCCAACTCCCCAAATACGATGGCCCCCTTCACGCTCCACTCTGAGTGTGTGGCCACACGCATGGGCCAGGCCACGCGTCCCCCCACCCCGTGGGTACCTGTGCAGTACTGAGTGGCCGTCTGCCGCACCCCGGCCTCTGCCCTCCTGCCACCCCTCCACGTGCCTGTGCAAGAGGCCACGCTGGACACGGTGCCATCTGGCCCTCCCGTCTGCACTCACGCCCCTCCTGCAGGTGCGTTGAGGGCTTCGGGCCATGGTCTCGGTTGCCACGAGCCTCTGGCCTCCGTGGGTGGCTGCCCTTCCCAGAACTGGCTCTGCCCCTTCCTGGGTCCTCTGTGGCCACCTCTCTCCCAAGTGCCACACAGTGCCCTGCGGCCTCCTGACCTGCCCTCGTCCTCCCGGCAGGCAGCCCTGTGTGAGGGTGGACAGAGTGGGGGCCTCTCCACTGGCCAGCTCCAGGTGTACCCGCCCGGGCGAGCGTGGCTGTGTGCGGCAGTGAGGGGCCTGAGACTGCAACTGGCAGCAGAGGCAAGTTTGCAGGTCTTCTCCAGTGCTGTCCACACTGGCCCAGGGGCCAGGCTGGCCTCGGACCGCAGACAGCATCTGCCTGAGGGGACATCCATGGCCCGAGGGCTGCGTGGAAAGGGGGAGCCGGGTGTCATGGCACATGCCTCTCATCCAGCAATCTGGGAGGCTGAGGCAGGAGGATCACAAGTATAAGGCCAGCCTGGGCCTGAGATTCTCAAGATAAATAAAGGCCTGGGGTGTCTCTCAGTGTGAAGGCCTCATGTTCAAACCCCCAGTACTGGAAGGAAAAAGGGGAAGGGGATAAGGATGGTCAGCAGGCAGATTCTCCCCACCCGTGTCCTGGTGACTGTGGTGCCAGGACAGAGTGACTCAAATGCTCCAGAAGGAAAAGACCAGTGAGCTTAAGACCCTGAAGGCCAAAGGCTCCTCACGGACAGCCAGAAGCCGTGATGGATGCAGCCCAGGGCAGGGCACGCAGGGGGTGGACGTGGGGACCGGGGTGGAGCCGGGGACGTGAGCGTGTACCCTCACAGGCGGGGGCCGGCCAGGATGCCTTGTGCGGAGTGGAGCCCGAGCACAGTGGGGTGTCGGTCAGTTTAAATATGGACTTAGAAACAAAGCGTATTAACTTTTGTGTTGAGCAAAACAAGATGACTCCAAACACTTTGAGGCGCAGGAGACGGGTGAGGGCCGGCCTTGTGGGCACAGAAGCGTGCGAACAATAACGGTGCCCTTGGCTGGAAAACCACACAAACAAGTGTGCCGGCTCCACAGCCGAGTGCAGCTTTTCCTTTCGGGTGCTGGAGGTCAAAGCGGGTCCTGCAAGGCGAATGCTCTGCTAGTCTCGCTCCAACTGCTCCGCCTTGAAATTTAGGGCACTCCCGAAAAGAGCAGACAGTCAATCTGTAATTTCCAAATGGGGTAAGAAAATGTAGAGCGTGTTACTGATTCAACACAGGAAAGTGGCAACAAGAAAAGCTGAAGGTGGGAAGCAGGATAAGGCCACAGGATTAAGTGTGAATGTACTGGGGGCCACGCCGTCCTTGCTCAGGTTGGGTGAGCACCAGTGCCAGCAGCACACAGCGCTGGGTGCGACCCACAGACTGAACAGCAGTCTGCCGGAGGACACAGAGGCCAGTGGGGGCCAAGGACACAGGCTGACGTGTAAGGGACACGCTGGCAGACGTGGAGAAGGGGGCGCGTCTCCACGGCGGGCTGTGGTAGCATCACAGCTGTGCCATGGGCAGTGTCCCCTGTGATGGGCCAGGAGGGCAGCAGGGGACGGGCGCTGAGGAGACTCCAGCGGTGGAGGGAGCCACAGAGCTCGGCCATGGAGCTCTGCAGACGTGGACTCGAGGGGTCTGAGCGGTCGTAGGGGAGGCACGCAGGTGCCTAAACTGGCTGAGGACGTGCTGAACGAGCCTCAGGAGAGCAAGGCCGTCGTCAGCCACCCCACTTCTTCCCTCCACACAAAGCCCCATTTATCCACCCTGAAAAATCTTAAAGGAACCATTCTTATTAACCCAGCCTTCAGAGAGGCTGAGGCAGGAGGGTGGCAAACTTGAGTCTTGTGTGGGAAATTTAGTGAGTCCTTGTCAAAAGAGAACAAGTGGGGTGTGGTGATGTGTGCCTGTAGTCCTAATCCTCGGGAGGCTGAGGCAGAAGGGTCATCACTAGTTCACGGCCAGCCTGGACTATGTACATACCAAGACCTTGTCTCAAAAGAGCAGAAAGAAAAGGAAGAACAAAAAGAAGTGGAGGTGCTGCTCTGTGCAACAACCCCAGTTTAATCCCCAGAACCACTCTTTCCCCCCAAAAGAAAACATCAGTCCTCACTGAGCGGAGTCCGAGGGCCCAGAGGCGACATATGTCAAGTTCACCACGCACAAGACCACAGACACGAGACAGCTTTGGTTCTCAGAGCCTTCGGGGTTTGGAGTGGACACAGGGTACCACGGAAAGGAGGACTGACGAAGAGGTGGAGGAGCTTCAGGGAACCCTGGTGTGGCTTCCCGCCAGGTACCAAGGGCCCTGGAGCCAGGGGAACGGCCGCCAGGGGCACCAGTGTCTGTGCACATCTGTGCTGCTGTGCAGGGGAACCATGCAACGCCCGTGTGCACGCCCACCCGTGCCCGTCACTCCCACTGACCACCCGTGTGGACGCCTCCGGAGGTGTGCCAGCTCTGGGATGCCAGCTAATGTGCTCACAGGCAGGTGCCTTCCCGGACCTCGGGGATGCTGGGAGGAGCCGCAGGAGGGAGGCTGAGGAGGGGCCAGGGTGTGTGGCCTGGGTCAGACTTGGAGGTCACAGCCTCTGCGTCAGATACAGGGCAGCCAGACGGGTGGCCCTGCCTCTGCCCAGACGAGTCCCCAAGCCACCACCAGTGCCAGGCATGCCATCCTTTGCTCTGACTCCCTGGAACTGAGGAGCAAGAAGACGACGTGCCGCCTGGCCTGCAGTGGCCGGGAGCCAGCACAGAACCTTCCGGAATGTGCTTTCTAGACACTTCCTCCTCAGGCCCTTCACTGCCACACTCTCCCCTCTCCATGAGGAGGGTGTGTGCCCCTGTGGCACTTGCCTTGAGGAGATGTCACTCCCAGGGACCTGCCAGTGTGACTGGAGGGCCAGGCCCTGCCATCCCCTCTCCTCTTGGAGGTGGGCAGAGCCGTGATGAGGAAGCCATGGTGGGGCAGGATGCAGCAGCCACCAAGCCCGACAGGACTCAGGGTTGCCCCACACACGCTGGGCACAGCCTTGCTGGTTTGCTGAGTCCCGCTGTGGCAGGCCGCCGCAGTATGAGGCCCCAGAGAAAACCTGCTGCCCTGGCTCTAGCGCCATCCCCCATTGGGCCAGTCTGTCCAGCGAGCCTCCCACCACCCAGCTCCTGCCTTGCCTCGCGCCAGGGGCCCTGTGGGGACACAGCCTGGGGTGATAGGACCGCCTGTCCTACAGTGAGCTGACCGTCTCCACACCTGGGCTCTCTTGGCCGGGGAGGCGACGCCGCCATGGTTCCAGAGGTGAGCGTGTGGGCGTCTCCCGACACCATGGCCCTGCTGACCCCAGTGAGCCCGCTGGGCTGCCACAGATGCTGGCCCCATTCCAAATGCCTCTTCTCCCAGAGCTCTCCGAAGGAGGGCGAGGCCCCGACTCAGCTTCTCCTAACCTCTGGCCCGTTGGCTACGCTTGTGCCCCTGACTGACCTCCGCAGAAGGCCTGGCCTCAGCCCAGCCGCTGCCCCTCCCAGGCTGTGGCAGGACCATGGCTGCCCTGTCCACTGCTCCACCTGCTCTGTGCCAGGTGCTCCGGGGAGGGGAGAAGCCACAGGGGGTGTGTACGTGGTGCCCATCGGGCCGGAGCTCCCCACACCCACGCTGCCGTCCCCAGCACTCTCCCGGCAGCACCAGGAGACAGATGGCGAGGGGCCTCCTTCGGAAGGGCACAGAAGAGACAGGCGATGAGACGCTGATCTCCCCGGGGACTCGGCCACGTTCCCCCTCGCCTCTGGCAGGGTCCAGAGCAAGCACTGGCTGTCCCTGCTCACCACAGCCCGTGTGGCTCTGACCACAGGGTCCTCAGCACCTAAGTGCGGAAGCTCAGGAGGGAAGGGGGCAGAGGCTGGTCGTCCACCTGATGCCCTGGAGACTGCGGCTCCCGGCAGCGCTGCCCCACCTGCCGGAAACCCAGTGCCCATCGACTCACGCTTCCAACGCCCACCTGAGGGTGGCACCCAGGCCGGAAGAGCCCAGGCCGGCTCCAGGCTGCACAGGGGTCCCCAGAAGCCAGGGCTTCAGCCTTGGCCTTGGGGCTCGGCCACTGACGCCCCAGGCCCTCCGCATTTCCCAGTGCCCCCCTGCCTGGGGTCTGGTGCATTTGCCTTGGGGCAAGTGGCCCCTGCCCTGGGAGGGAACGGCGACAGGGACACCAGGCAGCGCTCAAGAGCAAGGACGCAGGAGTCCATGTCACTGGCCCCGACTCCGGCCTTGGGAGTGGTGGGGAGGTGAGGTGCATTCCTCCATGACTCAGATGGTGTTCGACAGACTAGGACATAGTGAAGCAGCTGTGGAAACCTTTTAGGTCTCAGAAACTTTAGAATCAGAGTTAACAGCGTGAAATCAGCGCACCCAGTCTTGCGTGTTGCGTCCCATTGCCGTCCAGCACAGGGCCTCCCCAGCTCCCTCACACACCCAGGCTGACGAGTGCACTCCCGCAGCACGCGGGCGGGAGCTGGTGTGGGTGGGGACCCACACTGACCTGAGCAGGCACAGGCGGCGAAGGCCTCTGCAGCTGCCTGAGGCCCACGAGGATTCCTGTGTGGGTTCCGGGAGGAGACAGGGGCCCAGAAGGGCCTGTGCGGGGCGTGAGGCGGCTCTCGGGTCCAGCAGCAGCAGCAGGAGGGCTGTCCGGGGAGGCCCAAGGACACCGGGCTTCCTGCAGTCACACAAGGCGTGAGGCACATCCTGTGGTGGGGCTGCCCTGGCCGTGGAGCCTCCCCCAGAGGGCGCCCCGCACATGGCGGGCCTCGCAGCGCAGGGTGCACTGGAGCAGGTGGCGCGGCCAGGCACTGCCGACCACCTTGATTCCATTTCCCTTCTCGGGACACCAAGGGCCAGCCCTGGAGAGCACCCAGCAGCCGTGGTCACTGGAAGAGTCCGGCCACAGGGGACACCGGGAACTGTGGAGGCAGCCTGGGGCTGGGGAGCGTCAGCAGCGATGTCACCCCACACCGTCTTGATTCTGGTCGGCCTGATCGGGTTCTATCCACAGGGCGCTGGGCCAGGGCCCACAGCAGGTGCTGGCACCGGGACCCAGTCACTCGGGGTAGAATTGCCTGACCAGATCCTTCTTGTTGATCTTGCCCATCTGATTTCGCGGGATCTCCTCCACCAGCAGGAGCCCCGAGGGCACAGCGTAGGGGGCCAGGAAGCGCCTGCGGGACAGCTCTGCCTGAGCACTGCAAGGCTGTGCACAGGGCACAGGCCCGTAGTCCGCAGCCTGGACAGTGGATGGCCTGTGGAGTGGCCATCCAGGGTGAGGCGGTGGTCTGGAGCTGCCACAGGGCTGGTCACCATCCGGGCGTGAGTGTGGCTGGCCGTTCCCTGTGCAGCCTGCTCTGCCCCAGACCCACTTGTGTCCAGTGTCCGAACACAGCTCGAGCCTCACAGGAGCCCCAGTGGTCAGGCAGGCCGAGGGGTGCTGGCGAAGCCAGAGACTCCCAGGGCTGCCACGGCCTACGGGGGCACAGCCTATACCAGAGGCCTGAAGAGAAGAGGCCCAGAGCAACTTCTGTCCTGAGACATCAGGGCAGCCATCACATGTGCACCTGCTCTCTTTTCCGTTTCCTTTCAACAAAGTTATTGTTTAATCAAAGCAGCAGCCACCCACCGACTCCTGCCTTGGGGACTATGGCTTCAGTTGGGATTCTGCAGATCCAGGGGATCTATAATTGCCCAGCTGTGCTGCCCTGATGAGCCAGAGACTCCTTCTGCTGGGATCGGAGGACAGAAAATATCTCAGTGGGGGGGGTGAAGGAAGGGCAGGAGGAAGAGGAGATGGGGGAGGAAGAGGAGATGGGGGAGGAGGAAGAGGAGATGGAGGAGGAGGAAGAGAAGATGGGGGAGGAAGAAGAGATGGAGGAGGAAGAAGAGGAGATGGAGGAGGAAGAGGAGATGGGGAGGGAGAGGAGATGGGGAGGGAGAGGAGATGGGGAGGGAGAGGAGATGGGGAGGGAGAGGAGATGGGGAGGGAGAGGAGATGGGGAGGGAGAGGAGATGGGGAGGGAGAGGAGATGGGGAGGGAGAGGAGATGGGGAGGGAGAGGAGATGGGGAGGGAGAGGAGATGGGGAGGGAGAGGAGATGGGGAGGGAGAGGAGATGGGGAGGGAGAGGAGATGGGGAGGGAGAGGAGATGGGGAGGGAGAGGAGATGGGGAGGGAGAGGAGATGGGGAGGGAGAGGAGATGGGGAGGGAGAGGAGATGGGGAGGGAGAGGAGATGGGGAGGGAGAGGAGATGGGGAGGGAGAGGAGATGGGGAGGGAGAGGAGATGGGGAGGGAGAGGAGATGGGGAGGGAGAGGAGATGGGGAGGGAGAGGAGATGGGGAGGGAGAGGAGATGGGGAGGGAGAGGAGATGGGGAGGGAGAGGAGATGGGGAGGGAGAGGAGATGGGGAGGGAGAGGAGATGGGGAGGGAGAGGAGATGGGGAGGGAGAGGAGATGGGGAGGGAGAGGAGATGGGGAGGGAGAGGAGATGGGGAGGGAGAGGAGATGGGGAGGGAGAGGAGATGGGGAGGGAGAGGAGATGGGGAGGGAGAGGAGATGGGGAGGGAGAGGAGATGGGGAGGGAGAGGAGATGGGGAGGGAGAGGAGATGGGGAGGGAGAGGAGATGGGGAGGGAGAGGAGATGGGGAGGGAGAGGAGATGGGGAGGGAGAGGAGATGGGGAGGGAGAGGAGATGGGGAGGGAGAGGAGATGGGGAGGGAGAGGAGATGGGGAGGGAGAGGAGATGGGGAGGGAGAGGAGATGGGGAGGGAGAGGAGATGGGGAGGGAGAGGAGATGGGGAGGGAGAGGAGATGGGGAGGGAGAGGAGATGGGGAGGGAGAGGAGATGGGGAGGGAGAGGAGATGGGGAGGGAGAGGAGATGGGGAGGGAGAGGAGATGGGGAGGGAGAGGAGATGGGGAGGGAGAGGAGATGGGGAGGGAGAGGAGATGGGGAGGGAGAGGAGATGGGGAGGGAGAGGAGATGGGGAGGGAGAGGAGATGGGGAGGGAGAGGAGATGGGGAGGGAGAGGAGATGGGGAGGGAGAGGAGATGGGGAGGGAGAGGAGATGGGGAGGGAGAGGAGATGGGGAGGGAGAGGAGATGGGGAGGGAGAGGAGATGGGGAGGGAGAGGAGATGGGGAGGGAGAGGAGATGGGGAGGGAGAGGAGATGGGGAGGGAGAGGAGATGGGGAGGGAGAGGAGATGGGGAGGGAGAGGAGATGGGGAGGGAGAGGAGATGGGGAGGGAGAGGAGATGGGGAGGGAGAGGAGATGGGGAGGGAGAGGAGATGGGGAGGGAGAGGAGATGGGGAGGGAGAGGAGATGGGGAGGGAGAGGAGATGGGGAGGGAGAGGAGATGGGGAGGGAGAGGAGATGGGGAGGGAGAGGAGATGGGGAGGGAGAGGAGATGGGGAGGGAGAGGAGATGGGGAGGGAGAGGAGATGGGGAGGGAGAGGAGATGGGGAGGGAGAGGAGATGGGGAGGGAGAGGAGATGGGGAGGGAGAGGAGATGGGGAGGGAGAGGAGATGGGGAGGGAGAGGAGATGGGGAGGGAGAGGAGATGGGGAGGGAGAGGAGATGGGGAGGGAGAGGAGATGGGGAGGGAGAGGAGATGGGGAGGGAGAGGAGATGGGGAGGGAGAGGAGATGGGGAGGGAGAGGAGATGGGGAGGGAGAGGAGATGGGGAGGGAGAGGAGATGGGGAGGGAGAGGAGATGGGGAGGGAGAGGAGATGGGGAGGGAGAGGAGATGGGGAGGGAGAGGAGATGGGGAGGGAGAGGAGATGGGGAGGGAGAGGAGATGGGGAGGGAGAGGAGATGGGGAGGGAGAGGAGATGGGGAGGGAGAGGAGATGGGGAGGGAGAGGAGATGGGGAGGGAGAGGAGATGGGGAGGGAGAGGAGATGGGGAGGGAGAGGAGATGGGGAGGGAGAGGAGATGGGGAGGGAGAGGAGATGGGGAGGGAGAGGAGATGGGGAGGGAGAGGAGATGGGGAGGGAGAGGAGATGGGGAGGGAGAGGAGATGGGGAGGGAGAGGAGATGGGGAGGGAGAGGAGATGGGGAGGGAGAGGAGATGGGGAGGGAGAGGAGATGGGGAGGGAGAGGAGATGGGGAGGGAGAGGAGATGGGGAGGGAGAGGAGATGGGGAGGGAGAGGAGATGGGGAGGGAGAGGAGATGGGGAGGGAGAGGAGATGGGGAGGGAGAGGAGATGGGGAGGGAGAGGAGATGGGGAGGGAGAGGAGATGGGGAGGGAGAGGAGATGGGGAGGGAGAGGAGATGGGGAGGGAGAGGAGATGGGGAGGGAGAGGAGATGGGGAGGGAGAGGAGATGGGGAGGGAGAGGAGATGGGGAGGGAGAGGAGATGGGGAGGGAGAGGAGATGGGGAGGGAGAGGAGATGGGGAGGGAGAGGAGATGGGGAGGGAGAGGAGATGGGGAGGGAGAGGAGATGGGGAGGGAGAGGAGATGGGGAGGGAGAGGAGATGGGGAGGGAGAGGAGATGGGGAGGGAGAGGAGATGGGGAGGGAGAGGAGATGGGGAGGGAGAGGAGATGGGGAGGGAGAGGAGATGGGGAGGGAGAGGAGATGGGGAGGGAGAGGAGATGGGGAGGGAGAGGAGATGGGGAGGGAGAGGAGATGGGGAGGGAGAGGAGATGGGGAGGGAGAGGAGATGGGGAGGGAGAGGAGATGGGGAGGGAGAGGAGATGGGGAGGGAGAGGAGATGGGGAGGGAGAGGAGATGGGGAGGGAGAGGAGATGGGGAGGGAGAGGAGATGGGGAGGGAGAGGAGATGGGGAGGGAGAGGAGATGGGGAGGGAGAGGAGATGGGGAGGGAGAGGAGATGGGGAGGGAGAGGAGATGGGGAGGGAGAGGAGATGGGGAGGGAGAGGAGATGGGGAGGGAGAGGAGATGGGGAGGGAGAGGAGATGGGGAGGGAGAGGAGATGGGGAGGGAGAGGAGATGGGGAGGGAGAGGAGATGGGGAGGGAGAGGAGATGGGGAGGGAGAGGAGATGGGGAGGGAGAGGAGATGGGGAGGGAGAGGAGATGGGGAGGGAGAGGAGATGGGGAGGGAGAGGAGATGGGGAGGGAGAGGAGATGGGGAGGGAGAGGAGATGGGGAGGGAGAGGAGATGGGGAGGGAGAGGAGATGGGGAGGGAGAGGAGATGGGGAGGGAGAGGAGATGGGGAGGGAGAGGAGATGGGGAGGGAGAGGAGATGGGGAGGGAGAGGAGATGGGGAGGGAGAGGAGATGGGGAGGGAGAGGAGATGGGGAGGGAGAGGAGATGGGGAGGGAGAGGAGATGGGGAGGGAGAGGAGATGGGGAGGGAGAGGAGATGGGGAGGGAGAGGAGATGGGGAGGGAGAGGAGATGGGGAGGGAGAGGAGATGGGGAGGGAGAGGAGATGGGGAGGGAGAGGAGATGGGGAGGGAGAGGAGATGGGGAGGGAGAGGAGATGGGGAGGGAGAGGAGATGGGGAGGGAGAGGAGATGGGGAGGGAGAGGAGATGGGGAGGGAGAGGAGATGGGGAGGGAGAGGAGATGGGGAGGGAGAGGAGATGGGGAGGGAGAGGAGATGGGGAGGGAGAGGAGATGGGGAGGGAGAGGAGATGGGGAGGGAGAGGAGATGGGGAGGGAGAGGAGATGGGGAGGGAGAGGAGATGGGGAGGGAGAGGAGATGGGGAGGGAGAGGAGATGGGGAGGGAGAGGAGATGGGGAGGGAGAGGAGATGGGGAGGGAGAGGAGATGGGGAGGGAGAGGAGATGGGGAGGGAGAGGAGATGGGGAGGGAGAGGAGATGGGGAGGGAGAGGAGATGGGGAGGGAGAGGAGATGGGGAGGGAGAGGAGATGGGGAGGGAGAGGAGATGGGGAGGGAGAGGAGATGGGGAGGGAGAGGAGATGGGGAGGGAGAGGAGATGGGGAGGGAGAGGAGATGGGGAGGGAGAGGAGATGGGGAGGGAGAGGAGATGGGGAGGGAGAGGAGATGGGGAGGGAGAGGAGATGGGGAGGGAGAGGAGATGGGGAGGGAGAGGAGATGGGGAGGGAGAGGAGATGGGGAGGGAGAGGAGATGGGGAGGGAGAGGAGATGGGGAGGGAGAGGAGATGGGGAGGGAGAGGAGATGGGGAGGGAGAGGAGATGGGGAGGGAGAGGAGATGGGGAGGGAGAGGAGATGGGGAGGGAGAGGAGATGGGGAGGGAGAGGAGATGGGGAGGGAGAGGAGATGGGGAGGGAGAGGAGATGGGGAGGGAGAGGAGATGGGGAGGGAGAGGAGATGGGGAGGGAGAGGAGATGGGGAGGGAGAGGAGATGGGGAGGGAGAGGAGATGGGGAGGGAGAGGAGATGGGGAGGGAGAGGAGATGGGGAGGGAGAGGAGATGGGGAGGGAGAGGAGATGGGGAGGGAGAGGAGATGGGGAGGGAGAGGAGATGGGGAGGGAGAGGAGATGGGGAGGGAGAGGAGATGGGGAGGGAGAGGAGATGGGGAGGGAGAGGAGATGGGGAGGGAGAGGAGATGGGGAGGGAGAGGAGATGGGGAGGGAGAGGAGATGGGGGAGGAGGAAGAGGAGATGGGGGAGGAGGAAGAGGAGATGGGAGAGGAAGAGGAGATGGAGGAGGAGATAGAAGAGGAGGAGATGGAGGGGGAGGGACAGGAGATGAAGGAAAAGGAGGTGGAGGAGGAAGTGGAGCGGGAAATCGGAGAGGAAATGCAGGAGGAGGAGGAGATGGAGAAAAGGTGATGGAGGAGATGGAAGACGGGAGTTAGAGGAGGAGGTGGAGGAGGAGGAGGAGGTGAAGGAGGAGATGGAGGAAAAGAAGATGGAGGAGGAGAGCTGGGGTGCAGGAGACTTAAGGAGGACAGGACACAGTTGCAGGCGTAGCCCAAAGCTCGCAGGGTTCAAGGAGTCTGCTGTGGAGGGGCCGGGGGAGTCACCAGCCAGATACACCAGTACAGGCCGTGGTGGTGCTTGGGCCAGGGGAACTTTGGGCACTATGGAGGTGGGTATGGTTCAGTCTGGGGGACAGTGAATCCTGGGGACAGGGGAGCCACCTGGGCTCGGTGCGCAGGAGAAGCCCTTGGGGCTCTGGTGGAGGTAGGGCGGAGCTCAGGCCAGAAAGGACAGGGACAGGACTGTGGTGCCTAGAGAGGCCCGGCATGCCCTGGGGAGAGGTACAAGGGTGTGGGGACCCTCAGGGTGGGAAGGCGAGGTGCTGCCGTTCTGCCTGGTTCAGGACTGGGGGAGCTTGGACCCAAGGGTTGTCCTAGTGCTTTTGTGGATTTATCCTAAAAGGGTTTTTTTTGCTTGTGTCCCAGGAACACAAGTTTCTGTCTTCTCAGAAGCTGCGTCCTAAGTGCCTGTCCCAACCTGGGTCCAGGGGCCTTTCCAGCCTCCGTCCCCTCCTTGGGGGTGCCGGTCCTCACCTACCTGGCCCACTCCTTGAGGTCACTGTGGGACAGTGAGTGTCCTGCCTGAAGGGCCACCACTGCCGTGACCCGCTGACCCCATGTCACGTCTGGCACGCCGATCACAGCCACGTCTGAGGAAGAAGAGCAGGCCGTGGGCTTGGGCTCCCAGGGGCTGTGCCGTGGGGTGGGTGCCCGTCCTGCCAAGACTGCAGGCCGCAGGGGAGCCCGGCACACACCCGGGTGCAGACGCCGAAAGTGGGTCCCTGGCACTCACCCGAGATGCTGGGGTGGGCCAGCAGCTGCCGCTCGACCTCCAGAGCACTGACTTTGTACCCTCCGGTCTTGATGATGTCCACTGATGTGCGGCCACGGATCCAGTAACTGCCGTCCTTGAACACGGCGGTGTCCCCTGCAAAGGGCTCGGTAACAGCCCAGCACCACAGGGTCCCTGTCCCTGGGCACCGTAGGGCACACTTCACCCCACATCCTCGGCCTCCCCACAGGCCCCACAGGTCCCAGACCCCCCTCTACCCCCAGGCTGGCCGGGGCTGGGAATCTCCCATATCAGGGGAGGGCGTGGCACTGGACACACAGCACCCAGCACCCAGCCCAGGGCTTTGACTATGCCCAGGAGGGGCCGTGCCAGGGGCCCCAGCCAAACCTCCGACCCACAGAGGTTCCCGCCTCACCCTGTGTAAGGACACGTGGGTCATGAGCCTGTTGACCCTCACCTTGAGGAGCCTGGGTGCTCACTGCCAGCCCCTTTCCAGGCGGGAGGGGTGCTGCCCGCTGTCCCCACCCACCTGCCCACCTCTCCCTAGGTCCTAGCCTGCAGCTGCCTCGTGGTCATGCGACTGCATGGGGCACGCAGACACCCCAGCTGCCCTGCACAGCCGTGCCGGGCCTCCCGTCTGTGAGCCGCTCTCCCACCTCGCGGGGGCACTGCCGGCAGGAGTCACACACATTTCACACGGGGCAGCGCCATCCACCCTCCCACCACCGCTCCAGACCCGTGACGGGCACACGGCAGTCTATGGAACAGGCCGATGGGCCAGGTGGGCGCTGAAGGAGGCAGGGCCTGCCAGTGGGTAGTGAGCCCGCTGGATGCAGCCTGCCTCGAGTTCAGGGCTTCTGCGACACCCCAAGCGGCAGCACACCCGAGGGGCCTGCCCACTGTCCAGGGGGCTATGCCGGCCCTTGCTGCTCCCTGGGGCTTCCATTGCCTGCCCCCCCCACCCAGGGCCAGCGTCAGGGACCACAGCCTGCCCAGACTCAGTCCTGCTGGACACCCCACGCCCACCCGCTCCACGGGCCTACGTGACTCCGGATGGCTGCAGCCTGGGGACACACAAAGGTCCTGCCCCTCAGGGCACCCCGGGGGCCACAGCACACGGCTTGGCAGTGCGGGCCATGGACGCTGGATCGGGCCTCAGGGGTTCAGAAACCTCAGGCCGGACGCCCCCGAGGGTATTGCCTGCTGAAGGACCTGGGTGCGGGGAAGGGTGGAGGGAGCCGAGAGCAGAGTGTGCAGAGCCCCACGGCAAGGAGACAGCCACAGCACCGTCTACACGGGAGCACGAGGCCCGCGAGGCCACTCCCACTCAAGGTGAGGAGCCTCGGTGAGGGGCAGGGACTCAAGACGCTTGCTGGTGACCGGCACCCATGTCCACCTACCTAGCATCCCTGTGGTCAGGGGCCTGCTCTGGCGTCCTTGGGAAGAAGGGGTTAAGGATCAAGTTCAAAGCCCAACAGGGAGATGCACGCCTGTTATCTTGGCACTGTGGGAGGCTGACACAGGGAGGATCTCAAGTCTGAGCCCAGCCAGGGCAACTTTGACTTATAAAAAGAAAAAAAAAGTGGAGCTGTGAATATAGTTCAGTGCGAAGGCCTGGGGTCCAGCTGGCAGTACTGAAAAGCAAACAATCCCCCAAACAAGCCCCAAAGTGCTCAAGGGCCCAAGACAGCGCTGAGAGGAGGATGAGGGAGGGGCGTCCATGGAGGGCAAGCTCTCAGGGGCCCTGACCACAAGGGGCAACGAGGCTCATCAGTGGCCAGCTGAGCAGGGCCCAGGGGCAGCGCCACTGCAGAGAACACGTCTGACCTGTGCAAGGGCTTCCTCTTTACGGCACATATTTATCAGGCTGCAAGGACTCTGGACAGCCCCTGCCGCACCCTCAGCCTGACCGACCAGGGCTGCACATTCAGAAAGCTTTGTTCTGGGGCCACAGAGCGTCGAGTGGACTCTGATCGCACAGATTTATCGCCGCTCTCAGACAGTGCTGTGTCACATCTCTGCCCTAAACTGTAACTTCAAACAAACCTGCCGTTCAGATTCCATTACGGGATATTCGTGGGCCACCCCGGGGAGACTTTGCTACCCATCGGGTCAGGACCAGTTCCTGGCGGAGCCCTGAGATGCAGGGGCACTGGGTCATGGGTTGCATCATCCCTCAAGCGCAGGGCCCCAGGACCACCCCGCTGAAGGCTGCCGGCCCTCCTCTTCCTCCTGGCCTTCATGGCCCTCTTCTTTCTCCTGGCCCTCCTCTCCCTCAGCCTCCAGACAAGGGTCAAAGCCGGGCTGGAGGCAGGAACCCTGGGCCTCTGTGGGGCTACGTGAAGGGCCGCACACCGCACACCTGCAGACCCCAGGACGGGGGCCTGCAAGGAGGGAACCAGCTGGCACTGTGCGCCGGGAGGGAGACTCTGACCCACGCCAGGGGCTACAGGCCGAGGAAGACACCAGAGGGAGCAGGAAACGTGGACCGGGCAGCCTTGTGGGGACATAAACCTCACCTGAAACTGGCCGGGCAGCAGCAGGCCATACACAGCCCGGGAGACCAGGGGAAGCTGGACAGCACCGGGCAGCAGTTTGAGAACAGAGGCCCCAAAGCTGTCCCGGCAGATGCAGTTTTACACCAAAGGCAGTGGAGGGTCTCACGCAGGAGGGAACAAGGCCTACAGGGCCTGTGGAGCCCAGGGCCCCGCAGCCAGGCTGTGCCACCCCCCCAGGACAGGGGACAAGAACAGCAGGGGAACAGCGGTCCCTGGTTTCCAGTGCTGATGATGCCTGGTCCATGGAGCGTGCAGAGCTGTCACCACGGCGGGGCAGGCTGTCAACCCCACTGGAGCTCTCGGGCTCCTTCCTGGGTGGTACCCAGCAGGCCACCTTGGTGGAGCAAGCTTGAAATCCCTTCCGCCCACTCAGAGCCCTGTGGCTTTAGGGCTCCCGTCAGTCAGGGGCAAAGCAGGCCCTGCTCTTGGCCTGGGGCCCAGCTCCTCACAGGGCAGCGCCCTCCAGCAAGGTGAGCGCGGGACCCCAGGCTCAGGGCCGCGGCCAGCAGGCTTTTGTGTGCGTGTAGGCACTGTGGCACCTCCAGAGAACTGAGAACCATCAGATGGTAAGAGACCCTAGACTTAGGCTGCAATATTTATCAAAAGTGTGTAGCCTCCAGGGCACCAAGGATGCTGTTGAGAGAACAGCATGGACGCCCACCCAGAGACCATAGGCGTGGCCCCAGAATGTTTGTGTGAAGACAGGCAGGGAGCAGGCACACACGGCCCTGGGATGAGGGAGATGCGGGCCGGTGCCTGACAGGCTGCCGTGCTGGAGCTCAGTGTCTTCACCGGAGTCCCTGGGGCCTCACACTCAGGCAGTACCCATAGAGGACCCTGTGCCGCTTGGGGGTCAGGAGGAGGCGTGGTCCACTGCCCAGCGCAGCGTCTGCCAGCTGTGAGCCCTGTCCTGAGCCTCACAGACCGAGTGCCCCCAGGCTCCTGGGAGTGGCATGGGCAGAGGTCCAGGCCACATTCTGACAACCGCCATAGCCATGCTGAGATGGCTGTGGACAGCTGGGTACAGGGAGAGCTCAGGCCCACAGGTGCCACCTGCCCAGGGCTGGCACACGGCAGCAGGTACCACACAGAGGTGAGAGCACCCCACTGGCCTTGGGCAATGCAGTGAGAGCTGGGTTCTCAGCTTCTAGCGAGAGCCAGACCTGCATACCCTCCTGCACCCCTGGCCCTCTCCCGTAGGCCCTGCCCGGCTCTTGCTCCTCAAAGCTGCTGGGATGCTCCAGGTTGGCAACGGTTCTCCCAGGACACGCACCGCTGGCTCCCTACCTGGCTGGTGCCTCCCTTATCAGCTGTACAAACAACAAGATTCATATCCTGGGTCCCCAATGGCCTGCCACAGGGATGACCTTCTCCTGAGCCCTGGCAGCCCCGTGCTGGCCCCTGAAGGGCCACTGTGCGCTCACGGCCCTGCCAGGACCTGGCTCCTAGGTCATTCTGACTCCTCTCAGCGCCACTGAGGAGCAAGGACAGCGTGAGCTGAGGGCAGCTGTGGGCGCCTCAGTAGCCACCTCTCCCTGTCCATTCCCCAGAGTCCTGCTGGGGAGCAGCAGGGTCGGGACCTCGACTCTCCAGCTCCTACCAGGGCCTGTGTGGCAGGAAGGGTGGTAGGTAGAGGGTTAAGTTTAATTTATCCTGATTTCCACTTAATCTCAGGCTCTCCCCCAGGAGCAGCTGCTGTGGGCTGATTGCAGGCGCTCATTATGCAGCCTGTATAGCTAATGGCCTGTGACAAAGGCTGGCGGCTCCCAGCCGGCCGAGAGCCAATCACACACGCTCCCTTCCCATTTTGAGCACACCACAATGGAATTAAACTGAATTTCAAAACCGTCTTCTCCTGGGGACGTCTCCTTAGGATAATTAATGCATGCTTCCCCTTCTCTGGGGCCACTGGCGGCAGAGCCCACCTCAGCACGGCTGTGGCCAGCTCCGAGCGCTCCTACGAAGGTGCAGCAGCTTTTACCTGAATGTAAGACAAAGAGCAGTGGCGGCAAATCCAGTGGCTCTGGGCTGCCCAGGGATGCCGTGTGTCTGACTGAACTCACTGCGCTGCTGGCCCCTGCACCAGGCCACGCTAACCAGGCACCGACAAGTGCACAAGCCGGCCGCGTCCTGCATGCCCTGCCCCTGGGCTCTGGGCCCACTCACGCTCTGCCACCCCACGCAACCTGGGCTGTGTGCGGGGCACCAGCCCTGTCTCTTCCAAGGACGTTCATTTCATGGACGCCAGCCTGGCTAGCACCGCAGGTCCTCCCTGCCACCTCCATGCCTCTGTGGACTCCGCTCCTGCCATGGGGCCTGGGTCCTTCTGACCACAGCTGTGGGGGCCGAGGCTGGGGAGGGGCTCAGGGTCATGGAGGATGGGGGGGGCCTTTGGGCTGCAAGTGGGGCAGACAGGAGGGAGCTCTGGACAGGTGACCCTGATCGTATAGCCCACATGGTGAGGGGCTGCGGATGCCGAGGCCTCAGGCCGTCCCTATGCATGTCCCTCCGAGACCTGCTAGGAAACCTCCTACAAGCCTTCCCTTGGCTGCTGCTCCCAACCAGCCACAGAGAATCCACCTCTATCATGAGCAAGGGTAACATCGGAAAGAGGGTCTTCTCTTCTGAAGATTTCACCTTCAAAATTATCAAACAAAGCCAGGTGTGGTGCTGCACACCTGTTGATCAGCCCTTGGGAGGCTGAGGCAGGAGGAGCTCAGGTTCAAGCCCAGCCCGGGTAACTCTGTGACGTACAGAGGCCCTGGGGCAAAATAAAAAATAAAGGGCTGGGGATGGAGGTCAGTGCAAAGAGCACGTTTACACAAAACTCTTAGAAATATGGAGGCAAAGAGAAAGAATGCCAGCACGTTCCAGTGTGTCGTTTCAGAAGAAAATGCACTTGTGAAGGTGCAAGTGTTTCTGTCCAGTACCCTCCAGAGTCGGGCTGGACACAGGGTCCAGGTGCCAGGATGAGCCCTGCAGAAAGGGTGCCTGCCCACTACCATGATGGCCACTGCCGAAGGTCTGCACTGACCATGCCTGACCCGCAGGAAGCAGGCAGACCGACCCGAGGGTGACTCAACAAGCAACCACAACAAATCAGATGAAAGCGAGCCAGCCAGGAGAGGCCGGAGCCGGGGCAGGGTGGCTGGGGAGGGGCTAGGGTCTCTGAGCAGCTTGCGGAGATCCTGACCTGAGGCCCATGGACCCCAGGAGGAGGACGTGGGCAGCGTCTCTGCTGTGGACTTGCGCAAGGCTGAGGGAGCGCGTGGTGGCCCTGTCACCTCAGGAGCCCAGGGGCTGGGACAGCTTCATGTGCTGTGGCCCCAATCTGGCTTGCCCCGCTGGCCCTGCCATCCCTCTGCCCTGCCAGAAGTGGTCCCACCTGTCCTGAACCAGCCGTCAGGAGTGAAGGTACTCTTCGTTTCTTCTGGTTTATCCCAGTACTCTCGAAACACAGAGGGTCCCCTGACCAGCAGTTCCCCTTCCTTCTCCTCAAGCCCTGGGGTCACCTGCAGAGGGTGGCAAGGACATACAGGTTGGAGCGGGCACACTGCCCTCCGGGTCCTCACCTTCCCCAGGTCATCCCGTGGGCCAGGCGGTTTCCAGCATCAGACACTGTGTGAAGTTTGCATATGTGGCCTGTAATGAGCAGGTGGCCAGCGTGTTCTTGGCGGGAACAGCGAAGCCACAATGGCCTGCAGGAATGAGGGTAAATAGGTCTTCTTGGTCTTTCAGATGCTGTGTTTTGGAGGATGTGTTGCAAGCAGATCTGACCTCAAATACCCAGTACAGAAGGTTCTGCAGATACAGTGGAAGACACTGCGGGAAAAGGAAAAGCAATACAGATGGCGACTCTTGGTGAGCACAAGACCCTCATCCCGTCCTCCAAGCTCTAAGTGTTTCTCAAGGGTTGGAAGCCATCATGGTTTTGTCTGACAGGGTCCACACTCACAGAGGTCACAACACAAACACCAAAATGCCTGAATGGCAGCTGAGCGACCTGGAAGGATTAACGTATTTGTTCCAAGCAGACTGTGAAAAGCAAGTGGGGCTACTGCTACCCATAGAGCAACTATCAAAATAATGACACAGAGACACATGAAAAACCAGACAGGCAGGATAGGGCACTAGGCACAACCCTGAAGAAGGCACACACCTGTAATCCCAGCACTAGGGAGGCTGAGGCAGGAGGATCACTATGAGTTCACAACCAGTCTGGGCTACATAGTGAGTTCCAGGTCAGGCTCAACTATATACTGAGACCCTACTTCAAAAAACCCAAAACCAAAAAAGAAGAAGAAGAAAAAGGCAGTAAAGGGGAGGCTGAGTGATAAAAAGCCAATGGGGGCTTAAATTCCAGCATGCCAGAACTACCTGATATGTACATGATTCAAACCACCCACGTAGGGCCAGGGATTGAGCTCACTGGTTTCACTGCCTGTCTTGCAAGCACAAGGACCTGAGTTTGATCGCTGGTACAAAACAAAACAAAACAAAACATGTATCTGGTCAGCCCACGTTAGAGACACGTGTAAGCCAAGCATATGCTGCCTACAAGTAACTTGCCTCAAATCCAACCATGTATTTGGGGTAGTGGCAACAGGACAGAATCGTATATATCATTAAAAATTATTTTGCAGTACTGGAAATAGAACTCAGGACCTTGCACTTACCAGGCAGGCACGGCACCATTGAGCTACAACCCTGTCTCTATCATTAAAATGTAAACACCAATCAGAAGAATAAAGTGACTTCACTGATATCAAACAAAATAAACTGAACAGCAATGAGGACAATAAGCAGTGTTCTGTGGTAAGAAAGGGTCAAGTCACCAAGAAGACACAATAGCCGGGGATTTGGCTCAGCGGTTCGGTGGCCTGCCTCGCAAGTGCAAGGACCCAAGTTCGATCCTGGGTATCCCCCGCCAAAAGAAGACACAATAGTTATACATGTGTATGCACCAAGCTATACTCAAAATACATAAAACACAAAGCTGAAAGCAAAAACAGTCTAGCTGGAGAACCTAACACCCCTCAGTTGGCGGTAGGATGGGTAGTGAGAGGGCCAGCAAGGACACGGAGGACCTGGGTGAGGCCACCTCCTCCTCCTGACACATGCAGAGCTCCAGCCCACCTAGGGGCACATGCTCCTCAAGAGCACCAGGGCATGTGTGAGGGAAGCCATGTCCGGGCCATATAACGGCCCTCAACACACAGAGGCACACCCAGGATGTTTTCCTGACTGTGATGGAACAGTGGGCCCTCCAGTTACAACCGGCCTGACATATGAAAAACGGGTTACAACTGGAAGTTTAGTTTTAATTTACCACCAAAGTCTTGAGTTACGATCTGAATGCTGGCTACTGGTGCTTCCAGAGTTCTGGAAGGAACAAGACAATATCCTTTCCTGTGTGGGGTTAATTGAGAAATCCTGGGCCAGTGTCTCTCTAAGGACCCTGAGATCTCCTGTGTACAGGAGACAGACTTTGAAGGCTGGGTAGAGGAGCCTGAGACTTCATTGGCCAACTTGAGTTACAGGAACTGAGTTCATAAGTCAAGGGTCCACTGTAAATTAGAAATCAATCCTACATATCAGAAAAATCACCAAACATTTGAAAAATAGATGACATGCTAAAATCTGTGAGTAAAAAAAGAAGTCTGCCATCTGCTTTGCCAGGGCAAGGATCTGAGTTTGATCCCTGGTACAAAAAAAAAAAAAATCTTAATGGAAATTTAAGAATATTTTGAACTGAAGGAAAATGAAAATACAACATATCAAAATTTGGAGGATGAAGCTAAAGCAGTGCTTAGAAGGAAATTTATATCCTTACATGCACTTATTAGTAAAGAGGAATCTCGTCAATAACCAGAAGCTTAACTTTGAGAAACTAGAAAAAGAGAAAAATAAGTCCGAAACCCAAGGCACCAGCAATGGCCTGACAGCCCCAAACCACCAAGGAAACTGAAGTTCAGTTAAGATCTTTCAAAAAGAAACCTCCGGGCTCAGTGTATGTGGTTTTACTGGTGAATCCCACCACTACGGAGAGAAGAAATAATGACAGATCTGCACAGTCTCATCCTAAAATGGGAGCGGGGGAGCATTCCCACTCACGTGTGAGGCCAGGGCTGCGCAGACACCGAGGCCAGGCCAGGCCAGGCCAGCGCAGAGACAGGAAGCTACAGCCCTGAGGCCCCCGTGAAGAGAAGAGACCCTCACAAAGTATCAGCAGAGCCAGCCTGGTCCCATGCCCCTCAGCAATGATGGGACAGCGCTCACACCAGGGGCCCCTCAGACTGAAACGGGGCCATACAGGTGAGAGCACCACGCAGCAGTCAGGTGTCTGAGGGGAGGCCGTGTACATGCACCTGCCACAGGAAGTGAAGCCCAGATCATCAGATGGCACACACAGCCTTGGTACCGGGTCAGTGACCCCAGGAGGCCCCGGACTCCTCATAGTCACCAGAGGTGGCCACTCCATGCTTGAGCCCTTCTGCTGGTACAAGGTGGAGGGGGCACAGGGTCTTGGTGCCCGATCCCATGATGCGGCCCCTCTCCACACACCCGCTGGCCATCCGTGTCTTCCCTGCTTCAAGCAGGGTTCTTAGGGAGGGTTCCCCAGGCATTTCAGATCCCAGTCCTACGTCAGGAGCACGGCGGGCACAGATCCGTCCCCTCACTGTGGCTCGTTCCCCTGCTCTGCAGAAGCTTTCGAATGACGCAGTCCCACGTGTTTCTGCTGTCAATGGCCAAGTGTTGGGTTCATACTGAAAACAGCTCCATGCCCATCTTCATCTAAGAGCCTTTAATACACCTGGGACTTTTGCATGTGGTAAGGGTCCAATGTCATTCTACCAGGTGTGGATGGCTAGCTTTCCCAACAGCATGCACTGAAGACTGTCTCCTCTCCACACTTGCAAGTGCCACCTGCAGTCAGCCTTCCTGGGCTCAGTTCTGCCCCACTGGTCTGCAGCTCTGCTGTGCATCCTGAAGTTGTTTTGGTGCCTTTGACCTTTTGCTCTAGACTTTGTTCTCTATCTGGTGTCTTTTATAGGTTCATGCAAATTTTAGGATTTTCTCTATTTCTGTGATCACTGGTGTCTTGATAGGGATTACACTGAAACTATAGATCATTCTGGGTAGCATGAGCAGTTTGACATTTATTGTCCTAGTGCACGAGCACAGGGTGTTTCCCATTGATTTGTAGCTTCTTCAATTTCTTATCACTGTTTTATAATTTTCTGGGTAGAGATCTTTTACCTCCTTGGTCACATTTATTCCTAAGCATTTTATTATTTTTATAGCTACTATAGATGGGATTGGGATTCTTTTTCCTGATTTCTTTTTCAGTGTTTACTATTAGTGTACAGACGTGCTACTGACTTTTGTACGTTACTTGTATCCTGAAACTTTACTGGAGTTGTTCAGGAGCTCTGACAGTTCGATGGAGTCTCCAGTAAGCTCATGTCGTGTGCACATGGTCTTTTGTTTTATGAGGCAGGGTTGTGGCGTGCAGCCCAGGCTGTCCTTAACTGCTGGATCTTCCTGCCTCCAGGTCCCAAGTGGCTGGTGTGGAAACAGGCTTCACACTCTAAGCAGGGATAATTCTGCTTTCTCTTTTCCAGTTGGACGGCTTCTTTCTTTCTCTTGCCTAACTGCTTTGGCTATATCTTCTATGACATGACATGAGCCGAAGTGGGCACGGGGCCCCTTCCTGCCTTGCTCTGGGTCTTACAGGGGAAGCTTCTTACCCCGTTCAGCATGCTGCAAGCTGTAGACTAACCTTATTCGGCCTTTTTTACGTTGAGGTAAGTTCCTTCTACATCTAATTAAAATTACTGTGCATTTTTATCATGAAGAGATATTGAATTTTACAGAGTGCTTCTTGTGTATTTATTGAAATGATTTTTTTTTGTTGTTGTTGTTTTGAGACAGGGTTTCACTGTGTAGTTGAGACTGACCTGGAACTCACTATGTAGCCAAGGGTGGTCTTGAACTCACAGCGATCCTCCTGCCTCAGTCTCCCGAGTGCTGGGATTACAGGCGTGTGCCACCATGCCCAGCTTTTTGAAATGATTATTTTTAAAGTCCAGAATTGTGACCTGAAAAATCAAGTATTGAATGCAAATTGGCTCAGATCCTACCATAACAGATCAATTTGTATTTTGTTAAATCTCTGAAGTAAATTGATTTTTAACATGTATTTCTATACATTTTTAAATAAAATTATAAATTTGTGGAAAAAGGAAATCCAGAATGGGTAAATTTGCAGAGACAGGAAGTACATAAGTTATTTTGTGGGGCTGAGAGAAGGAGAGAAGCAGGTCTGCCGCAGGCACAGCCACCCACCCCACCCACGCAAGGGGGGCTCCCCGTGAGGCCCTGCCTGTGACAGGTGTCAGTCGCAGCTGTGTGGCCGTTTATCTGCTGATGGACCTGCCCTGTATGGCTCTCGTATAACCGAGTGACTTGAAAAAGAGACAATGCCTGACGAGCTCACAGAGCACTGGGCAAGGCCAGCTGGGGCTTCGCCTTAAGTTCAGGTGCGACCAGGAGGCAGAGTTCAAAACTGTCCTCGTGATCCCCAAGCACCCTAGGTGGGCCTGCTGTCGGGAGAAGCCCCAAGCCACCTTGCTTGGTAGTCGGGAGACCCTTGCTGACTGCCAACCCCATGCTGGGCTCCACAGCAGCCCTGGGGTACAGTGTGGTGAGGGGCGTGGATGGGGCCAGGGAGCTGGGGCGTCTGTGTCCCCTCTCAGGCTTCAGCACCTGGAGCCCAGCCCCCGCGCGGCCTCCCGACTGTCTAGGTGCAGGGTGGGGGCTCCTTTCTATTTCAAGTGCATCTGGGGAAAAGCTTGCTGCAGACAGGAACAATTACAGCGCTGTGGTGGCAGGTGTCACCAGGTGGAGCCGGCAGCTTGCCAGCACAGGTGCCCGGCAGTTAAGTTTCATTTTGATTTAAGACAGAAGTGCTCTGCGGCCCACCCTCCCCTTCCTCTGACATTTCTGCCACTTCCTGTGGAGCAGGTGTTCCCAGCGCGGGAGGACATGGGGAGGGCAGGTCACCCAAGAGGAGCTGCTTTGGGCTGAGGGGGCACAGGCACTGCCCCTCTCCTGCCCCATGCCCACGGGCCAGGTGCTGACCACTGCCTGGCAAGGCCGAGCTCTGCGCACACAGACGAAGGGTGGGGGTTGGGGGCGGTGAGCTTGGGCACCCTGAGGTTTGGGTGTGGCTGGGTTGGGCTCAGCAGGCGGAGGCTCAGAAAGCTGCTCCTCAGAGCGTGGCCTCGGGGCAGTGCCGGCAGGAGGGCTTGGGGGGCCCAGGCAGCCGGCCAGCAAAGGCTATCTGGGGTGCACACGCTGCCCTGGGCTGCATGCATCCCACCTCCCCGCTTCTCACCCTGTACCTCCCATCCCCCGTGTCCTCTCTCACTGCAGGGACCACAGCAGAGGGCAGGGTGCATCCAGCTTCGAGGTCCCGGAGCCCTCTGGCCTGGATTTCTCTCTGCGACACTCAGCACCAACTCCAACTTTCAGAAAGCGACTGCCGTTCTGGTCCAAAGTCTGTCTCCCAGGAGCCCCAAACTCTATAGCCTGGAGTTCCCAATGACCACAGGACCTGAGTGCTCCAAGTCCTCAGTGAAACAAGATGACGCCCTTCCTGTGGTCACCTCTGCTACCCCCTGAGCGGGGCAGGACACCAGGGACAGGACCACCCCAATACGAGGGAAGGGGCACTGTGCCTGTGGGCAGTGCGACTGTGTCAGCATCAGTCACCCCTGCCCCACACCACAGGACATGGTGATCCCTGTCTCCACCTGAGAGGAGCCAGCCAGGCCCTAGGGGCAGCTGGGCCCCTCTTTCCCCTGTCTGGAGCTCAGGGCACCTCAAGGATGAGGCCGGAAACCCTGCAAGCCCTCAGCTGCCCAGTCGGCGCCTCTACCACCCGAGGTACCTTTGTCCCCTGCGCATCCCCCTCAGCGTGCACGGTGTACGGGCAGCCGTCCCTCTGTGGGCTCTCCGAGATGATGCGAACCTCCACTTGGGGCAGCGGGGTCCCCACGGAGCCTGCAGCGGAATGGGACAAAAGGCGGCAGAGGTGGGACCTGAGGAGCAGAGCCAGGACTTGGCCTGGAGGGCGGGAGGAAGTGAGGTGTGTGGCCCGTGCTGTCCCCGGCAGGGCCCTCGGCATGGCCGACCCGGGACCTTGGAGGACTCACAGCCCCTGTGGCAAGTGCAGGGGAAAGCAGGCCTCGCTGGTGTCCCCTTGAGGGACAGGGCTGGAAGCCAGGGGTGCACATGCACCGTGCTTCACCTACTGGGTGCCGGGAGGGAGGCCTGCCTGGGCACGTACCTGGCAGGCGAGCCCCGGACAGGGGGCTGGACAGGGCCATGCCGACCTCGGTCATGCCGTAGCGCTCCAGCAGTGTGTGGCCCGTGGCGCTTTTCCACCTCTCCAGCAGGGGGGTGGGCAGGGCGGCCGAGCCAGACACCATGAGTCTGGGGAGGAAGACAGACTCATTTGTGTGCGGCCCACCTCGGCACTCGTGACATCGTTTGTGAATTCAGGGTAAAAATTAGTTTGGACAAAGGCAACTCTGCTTCTGGAGAGAACCTGGTGTGTTTCAGAACACGGACAGGTCTCTTGTAGAACGTTAGGACAAAGCAGTAGTTTTGGGTCTTTGCAAACAGCTAGTGTCCCGTTTCCAGATGACCCTGAACACAGCAGCAGCAGGTGATGCCGGCGACGGGCACCCAGGGGTAACAGGTCTCCAGAGAGGCTCTGGGGGCCGGAGGAGGACTGGATGGAGAGGTGGGGCCACAACCTGCAGGGCCTGTTCTGGGCGGGGGCTGGGTGCGTCTGGGGACCACAGATAAGAGCCTCCACAGCCTCATGTCACTCAGACTCCAGCCAACCTTGGCACTGACGGGCCTCCTCCTTGAAAGTGGGGAGACGCAGCGACCCTGCCCTGGCCCTGGGACTCCTGGTGCTGTGGGGGAGGCTGGAGGAGCCCACAACTGCTCCCGAGGCACGCGGTCTCCAGCTCCTCAGAAGTCTTCACAGAAGGGAGCGAAGCCACAGCACAGCACCCCTGAGGGACCCTGGTGGCTGGGGAAGCATGAGTCACGCCTGGAATGTTATCCTGCTGTTTTGATGCTGGGGATGGAACCCAGGGCCTCACACATGCTAGGCAAGTGCTCCATTGCTGTTATATCCTCAGGTCCTTTTGGACATTACTTTGAGATAGAATCTTGGTAAGCTGCCCAGGCTGGCCTAGAACTTGCAATCCTCCTGCCCCCGCACCCCGAGTAGCAGGCTTTACAAGCGCATGCCACTGCACCCAGTGAACACTTGGCGTTCTAAGTTCTAGTGGCCTTGCCATCCTACTGGGCAGCCCTGGCCCACCCTATTGTGCCACACGCCTCTGCCTTTGCCCTGTGGGTTGGGAGGGTCCCCTGGTCCCTTCCTGGAGAAGCCACGACTCCAGCACACAGGGAACGCAGAGTGGCCTCACAGCAGGCGTGGGCCAGACTCGGCCGGTCAGTGAGGGAGGCGGCCGCACAGGGCCGGGGACGATGCGGGGCCACAGCAAGGTGGCAGTCATGTCTCTGGCGGGGGGCCAGGACGTCACAGCCAGGGAGACCAGTGCTGGGCCAGTGGGCCAGAGCTGGAGGGTCAGCTCCCGTCCTCACCTTCGCACAGCACAGAGCAGGGCAGACTCAGGTGGAGAGGAAGACGGGCCTGGGAGCACCGACACGCAGGCAGGGCCCTGCAGATGGCACTGACAGCAGCACGGTGACTCGGAGGGCAGGGCCTGTGCACACAGCGGCCGGGAGGACTTGTCCTGTTTACCTGATTCTTTCTTTACAAACTGCACGCACAAAATCCTGGACATGAGGCTGGGTGAAGTGCTGGTCGTAGTAATCCAGCAACTTGGAGAACACGGTGGGCACTGCCATGAACACGTTCACCCATGGAGTTTCAGGACTTAGAAACTTTTCCCAAACCTAGAAAGAGAAAAGGAAGCCGGGTGAGGGCCAGACAGCAGGCCGATGGGACACGTGGGGGGTGCCAGGTCCCACTGCCCGGCTCTGAACAGCCTTCCCAGTCAGATCTGAGGCCCCGCGCAGGGCCCGCGTGCATCTGGATGGGAGAGGGACAGCCCGGAGCAGGAGCCGGGACCAGGGTTCCACCTGCAGTCCGGAGTGGTGGCCGGGCTCCTCCAGCTCCAAAGCGGGGGCGGTCAATGTGCGGTGGGAGCCCGGCAGCAGCTGCGGTGCCCCTGCAAGCCGAGCCCAGCACGGTGCCCGGCATAGACACAGGTGGCTTCTGTTCGTCAAGGCGCCGTGTGACTCAGCCACCTTCTCCATTAGGCACTGGTTGGATCTGTGTCACCCTAAGGCCCCTGGGAACAGCCAGCCGCTGGGGCGGCCACACCACAGCAGGGCGGTGTCACCCCCAGGCGTGGAGACCAGCGGCCTGAGGAGACTGCACCCTATTGCCTGCCTGCGCCGCAGTGACACCGAGGAGAGGCCAGTGCCTCTGAGACCAACTGTGTCCCCCGCTTACCCCTGAGCACTCGAGACAGGGCAGAGCCAGGGCGACCGCAGAGGGCCGGGGACAGGCAGGGAACCGGGACACGTGCGACTGTTAGATTCTGGGGGGACGCTGGGGATCGAACTCAGGACCTTGCACTTGCGAGGCAGGTGGCAGGACCACTGAGCTAAATCCCCAGCCCCACAAGTGACTGTTAAATGGCAGCTCTCCCCGGCTGGGCCGCGGCTCCAATCCGAATTCCCCAGGAGCCTCACTGGGAGGAAAAGACGCAGTAGGTGTGGAGAGGAAGGGTAGGTGCAAGCGAAGGACGCGCAGCTCCGAGCTCCCAAGCAACCCCAGCAGCAGCAGCTGACGTGTGGCCCTGGGTAGGACGCAGTGGTAGGATGGAGCGGCGCGTGCAGACAGGGCCAGTCACGCGCCCAGCTGGGTGGAAGGTCACAGCGGAAAAGGATGACCTTCTCCCAAGGGTGCCGGCCACGGGACACCGTCACAACCCTGCCACACACTGCCCCGGGACTACCTCACAGGCCGGGACTGGAGGCGGAGCGGAAATCCAAGCGGGACCTACAGCAAACCAGCCCCTCCCGGCCTGGGCAGCCCCCACTGCCCCTGCTGCCCCGCAGCTGTCGCTCCTTGTTCTGGCACAGATAACGGACAGTGGTACCCTGGAAACAAAGGTCACGACTCCATTCTCACAGGACCCATAGCACGCCATCTTCTCCCAAGGCGAGGTTATGGAACTGCCTGCCCTTGCCCTGTTCCGGTAACTCAGGGGCACATCAGGAGAAAGACCACCCCCTCCGACCCAGTGTGTGCCGGCAGGAACATCTCCTTGTTCATCACTTTTCCTCCGGACAGGAGTCTGCTGAGCCACTGCATACCCTAAACCTGAAATAAATCCTCTTGATCCCATTGGTCTCGCCTGTCTTTTGGAATTCTGGGTTTTTTGGTTTTGTTTCTTTATTTTTTGGGACAGGTTCTCCCTCTGTAGTTCAGGCTGGACTCAAACTCACAGCAATCCTCCTGCCTCAGCCTCCTGGGTGCTGGATTATTGGCATGTGCCACCACACCTCACTGTCAGAATTCTGCAACAAAATCACAATACTTCTAGGCAAAAAACTAAGAAAATCTTCAAGAGCTTTGGCTGGGGAAAACTTTCTGGGATGTGATACCAAAAGTATAATCTATAAGATTAAAAAGTTGGTAAAATGGATGTTACCAAAATTAAAAAGACACCATTAAGAAAATGAGAAGAGCCAGGTGTCATAGAACAACACACCTATAATCCCAGCACTCAAGGGAAGATGAGGCAGGAGAATCACATTTTGAGCCCAGCCTGGACAACACAGCAAGATCCTGTCTCAAAGTAAAAAATAAAAAGGGCTGGGGATACAGCTCATTGTGAAGGCTCTGGGATCTCCAGTACACAGAACAGAACAAAACAAAGGAGAAAGAAAGTGAAAGCCAGAGCAGGGGAGAACCCTGCCTGAGGGGTGGACACTCCCTTGTAACAACACCCAGAGAGAGCAGAGTGGATCTGGGAGGGGAAGCTGCTGTCCTGTGACCCTCACAGGCAGAGGATCCAGCTGCCTCGGGAACACTAGGGATCCCATCAGATCTGAATGCTGGAGAAAGAGGAGGAAGAGGAGCAGGAGGAGGAAGAGGAGGAGGAGGGCGAGCCCAGGAGAAAGGGCACTGCACCTCAGGGCACCAGCGGGGAGGATACAAACCTCAGGGCCCAGCTCCCTGGGTATCGGTCCACCTGACCCGAGAGGGTCCTTGCCGGGCTGAGCAGCACAGTTTGGTGGAGGCTCCATGGGGCTGAGCAGAGGAAACAGCTCAGGGCAATGCCTACCCCTGCTGCCCACAGCCCAGGTCACCTGGGCACAGCCACACTTGGGTCGGCCAAGGAGCGTGCAGCCCCAGAGGGGCTGAGGGCCTGCTCTTCAGTGCTTAGTGAACCTGCACCTTGCGTGGACCCCTGGTGGCAGCAGGGCCCCACACCAGCACGCCCACCCCCGCTCAGGGGCCCTGACTGGCTCCCCGCTGGGCATCACCTTCCCGCCTCCTGAGCTTCCACCCGTACCCAGCAGGCTGTCATCGCCACTGAGCTGGCTGGCTGCGGGAAGGCTGTAACCCCAGATTCACTCAGAGCCGCGTGTCCCTCCTGGACACCCCAACTTGGCCACGCTTTGGGGGCCTGAATGGTCTTGTGGGTCCCTCAAGATGCAGCAATAAGCATTTTACTCCTGCAAGCCACCTCTGGGGCAGCAGGGTCACAGCTGCTCCCACAGGGACAGGCACAGTCCAACAGGAGACAGCAGTGCCAGGTCATGGTGCAGGGGTCCCCAGGGCAGCAGGACCCAGTCGGGTCCCAGCCAGCGCACTGCCCGCAAGACCACAGGGTGGCCCCAACACGCAGCCCAGCTGCAGAGGGTCTGGGCTGCAGCTGACCCTCGGAGCGCTGTCGCTGTGGCCACGTGGGCAGTGGCTCCCCTGCTGTGTCAGTGCACAGACACTGACAGACCCACGGAGCAGGGGACCTGAAGCACCTCCGTGCACTCTGTCACGTCCCTTCTGCCCACACAACACCTCCGACCAGGCTGGGCAGCTGATGCTGATGAAAGCGGGAGACTGCTGCTGACTCCCAGGGCATGGGAGAGCGTGTGGCCTCCTCAGCCTCCTTTGTTTAGCATGGCTCTGCCCGCTTCCAGAGGCCCAGAGGAGTGTCGAGGGCAGCACAGGGCTGTCTGGCTCCTTTCACGCCAACCAGTGGACCTGCAGGGTCCCCAGATCCAGGTGGGGGCCCAGGGTGAGGACCCCAGCCAGTAGCTGTCAGGCCAGCACCGGGCACAGGAGAATCAGGTGGAGGCTGCCCAAGCAGCATTGGGGGAGGAGCCGGCCTGAGAAAGACTCTCCGGGGTTGCCCATTCTCTGCGGGGCCCGGATCTCTGCTCTACCTCCGACAGCACCGGCCACTCCGGCCCTGGCTCCTGGGCGGCTGTCCACGTGGCCATGGCAAGCCCTCTATGTGAGGGTCTCAGCAGAGCTGGAAGCCTGACCGTGTTCTAGGCCAAGGTGAGTTGCCCGGACTAGGGGTGCAGGCTGACTCCCCAGGGCTGAGCCCCAGCCTCCTCCAGAGAGGAGGCCCCGGATCCTCACCGGGCTGCCTCACCTGCCAGTCAGCACCGAGGCCCAAGGCCAGGCGGAGGTCACTGTTCCTCACACCCGCGGACAGGGGCTAGAGAGCAGGACCTGCGAGCATGCCCTCTGGGAGGGGTCCACATGGGTCTGGGGGTCCATGCTGCGCAGGAGGCAGCCTGAGACCTGACAGGCAGCACCTGTGGCAGCAGAGGGCATGGCCCGCACTCAGCCACCACACTGCCCACGCAGCACAGATGGGAGCCCAGCCCCGAGGCACTGTGGTCAGGAATTACCATCATCCGACCCCAGCACTATCAGACCTAAGGAGCTTCCCCAGCCCTTTTTATTTACTCAGAGACAGGGTCCGGCTAAGTTGCCCAGCTAGGCTTGAACCGCAATCCTCCTGCTTAGCCTTTTGGGCCCGGGGCTGTCGGTAGGTGCCAGGCCTGGTCAGACTCACTCGTGAGCCTTTTATCCCCGAGAACAAGAGCTGCAGTCGTAATGCGAGTCACAGAGCCACAGCCCCGCTGTAGGGCGTGCGCCTCACGGCGTCCCTGCCAGACAGGCACCGCGCTGTCGCCCCCTCTGGCCTACTGAGCCTGTGGGCGGTGCTTTACACACACTTGGTGCTGACAGCCAGACGGGTGGCTGAGGCGTTTCAGGCTGGAGGCATCACCACCACTGCCCTGCTCGTGGTCATCCCCCAGCAGAGGTTGCGGTCCTGAGCGGCCACACACAAGTGCAGCGCTGCCTCCTACAGCTCAGTTGCGCGCTGGCCGCCACAGCGTCAGGGATGTGGCCCCACCGCCCCGACTCCTGCCGTCCCCAGAGGGCCGCAAGCAGGCTTGCCGCTGACGAGGACCGAGCGGGCTCTTTCCTGCACTCGGGTCACCACCCGAGGGGACAGGGACGCTGCCGGCAGGATGGATGGAGGATCCGGGTCCCTGGCAGTCACCTCTTGGAGCAGGGGCGCTGGCCGCCACAGCGTCAGGGATGTGGCCCCACCGCCCCGACTCCTGCCGTCCCCAGAGGGCCGCAAGCAGGCTTGCCGCTGACGAGGACCGAGCGGGCTCTTTCCTGCACTCGGGTCACCACCCGAGGGGACAGGGACGCTGCCGGCAGGATGGATGGAGGATCCGGGTCCCTGGCAGTCACCTCTTGGAGCAGGGGGTGGCTGACCGCAGAGGAGCAGCTGTGCGACCACCGAGGAGGCAGCTGGAGCCCAGGACACAGGCAGCTGCAGGGGCCTGGAGGGTGCGGCCAGGGCAAGACCACAGGGGGCCTCCAGACTCCTGACCTCAGTGGTGGGTGCTGCCTAGCCACCAGGTCACCTGCCCATTGTTCCCAGCCCATGGTCCCCCAGTGTCTGTGGCTGCCCTCACCTGCTGGGCGCTGAACTCAGGCAGCATCACGCAGGTGGCTCCCACCCAGAGTGGGCACAGCAGCTTGTTGACCACGCCGTGCATGTGGTGCAGGGGAAGGACATGCAGGATCACGTCGTCCCTCGTCCATGCCCACGCGTGGACCAGCCCGGTCACCTGCAGGGCCAGGACACAGCTTGAGGACCGTGGGGCTCAGCGGGGCTGAGAGGAGGAAGGAGAGGAGGGGAGGAGGAAACAGCACCCAGGATGGGCAGGTGCAGCCGAAGCCCGAGGACTCCCGGGTGGCCGGCCAGTCCCTGAGACACCAAGCCCCAGTGCACAGCACACATGGGTCCGCTCACTCAGTGGCCCCTCACGTCTCTACACACAGTGCTTCACTTCCCGGCCCTGAGCGAGGCTAGAGATCACCAGGCCTCTCAGCAGGGCCAGCAGGGTGGTGACAGCCGGAATGGCCCTACAGAAGGGCAAAGGCCAGGCCACCCGGGAGCCCCGCCACTCCCAGGGCCGCTGGGACTGGGCCCTGCTGGAGCATCTTGGACGCACGCACCGTAGCCGTGAGGTTGCGGTGGGTGCTGAGCACGCCCTTGGGCCTGCCCGTCGTTCCGCTGGTGTAGAGGATCATGGCGCCCCGGTCCTGCCACTTGCGCTCCTGCGCTGGCTTCGCTGCCGGCTCCCCCACAGCCCCACGGTAGACGTCAGGAGGCAGAGGCAAGAGCGGGACCCCCAGCCTCTCAGCGACTGGGCCCACCAGCGGCACGTGCTCCGGGCTGGCCAGGACCACAGAGCTGCGGGAGTCCTGGATGAAGTACTCCAGCTGCGCCTCGGGGTGCTTCCAGAAGAGGGGCACCGCGATGCCACCGCTCATCCACGAGGCCCACTGGGCTACAACGTAGGAGACATCGTTGGAGCACAGGAAGGAGACCCGCTCGTCTTGCAGGTCTCCGTCCAGGCAACCTCGGAGCCTGCAGATCTCCAGGGACAGGCGCAGGCTGTGGTGGTACAGGTCCCGGTAGGTGTGGCGGCCATGCTGGTCAAAGAGGGCGATCCTGTCCCCAAAGGCCAGGGCCTTGGTGAAGACAGGGGCGGCCCCATCGGAGCAGGCAGTGGGGGCCGTGTGCAGGAAGTGGAGTCCTCGGTGTCCCCCAGGCGCCCGGCAGCAGGAGGCCACAGCGCAGACCAGCTGCCGGAAGGGCAGAGTCACGCGGGGCAGCATGGTGCTGACGAGCATCCAGCTGGTGTCACCTGCGTGCTGGCGAGGAGGGACAGTGCATTAGTGCCCTGGCTTCCCTGGGAGAGTCGAAGCTCCCTGCAGACCTTGGCCCGCAGGCCTTGCGAGGAGTAAATGCCATACCACAGGAATTTCCTTGTCCAACATCTCAGCTCCTTGTTTAACCTCTTTGTTTAAAGATTTCAACATCAGGCAAGTCCCTGGTACAGCAAAACACATTGTCTAAACCGAGGGAGGCAAAGGAACTTCAGTGCCTTGCGAGTGAAACTCAGAGCAGCTTTGGAAACCTGAGCCCGGGTCACTTGGGCAGAGGTGTGGGTGCCATGGGAGCTGTGTGGACCCTGGCGCCTGTGGATCACACCCTGAGCCACCGCCACCACCGTGAGCAGACACAGGGTGGCTGTGACACAGCTGAGCTTTATTACTGTTTTTAAATTCAATTAATTATGTTTGTGGTGCTGCCACGGAAGCCAGCTCTGCATGCAGGCCAGGCGGGGACTCCCAGGGGCCAGGTGCGCGCAGGGAGTGGGCGTCAGGTTTGGAGAGCTCTCCCTCCTCCCCTGACACAACCACTGCACGGGCCCAGATAACTGCACATAGCGCACACGGGAGGCTGCGATCCCCTCTTCCGGCTCCCACAGGTGTTGCTCACAGGCCATCCAGGCCGGGTGCCCATACAGCTCTGCAGCTGACTGCGAAGGCAGGACACTGACTATACATTCTCCTTCCCGGCGCTGACCGCCCCTCCGGCTCCGATCCCTTGTCAACTCCTTCCTGCCTTGGCCTCGAGGTGAGAAGGGGTCACCGCCCTCCTGGGAGCTGCTTGGGCCTCTGCTGCTCCCGCCCAAGGTAACTTGAGACTTACAGCGTGGGTCCCGGAGGCCCTAAGGAGTGTTATTCCGACAGTGGTAAAATGTTTAACACATATCGATGTTTTCATCGTGTAGTACCTCCTTCACCAACCGTGGCAGCTGACAGAGTGACCGCTCTTCCCCTGCTGTCCAGCCCGTTCCTACATCAGACAAGGGTCCAGCAGCGCCCTCCCTTGGGCTGTCCCTCCCGGCGAGGGCCAAGCCTGCTGTAGCAGGAGGAACTGAGCTGGATGCTACAGCCACCATGGGCAGACTGCTCCCGTGGGAGCACCAGGCCAGACCCGGGACTCGCATGCCACGATACCAAGATGCCAAGGACCGTGTGCCGCTGTCCCAGGCTGCATGCAGTGTGTAGTTGGCGTTCCACGGGCGGAAGCTGTGTACCTCGGCCCCGGCCCTGGCCCTGCAGGCTCAGGGTGACCAGGCGGTGGCAGCCGCTTTGCCAGTTCCAGGGTCTGAGCTGGGCCTGTGTGGGGTCTGCTTTCCCCTGTTCTGCGCCCAGTGACTGGCTGGGGGAAATCCAATGTGTTCCTGCCTTCTATACATGCTGAGCAGTTTTGTTCTCACCTCAGAAAACAGACTACACCCAACGTTTCCTAACTACCTCACAAAACAAACTCCAAACCATAAAGATGGCCAGAACCGCAGTGCACTGTGTACTTGAGCTCTGCGACGCCCAGTTCCGCCTCTGAGTCCTTGAGCGGTGGCAGGTATCTCCTCCAGCCAGGAGCTCAGAGGGACGGCAGCCTCTGGCCGAGAGGGAGGAGTCCACGCTGCTCATCCATCCTGGATCCCCGGCGCCGCAGGCACGATGCAGCTGATGTGAGGCAGCTCTGCCACAGGCCTGGGTCTCTGCTTCTACAGAGAAGCTGTGCAAACCAGGGGAGCAGCAGGGCAGGGCGCGAGGCAGGAAGGCGGTGTGCAGGGAGCACAGCGGTGTGGCTTACGCTGGTTTCCTTTTCTCCTCTCTGGGTCAGGCAGGGACTGCTGCGTGGTGTCTGGGAGCTCAGGAAAGATGTCCCAGGTTCCGTCTGGAAGGGAGTTTTCTGGAGTGTGGAGGAGCAGAGCACCCAGGCAGGTGACTCCAGGAAGGGAATCGGCACCAAACCCTCCTCCACTCACCGCACAGGAAGTTGGTAGGAGGCCCGGCCACTAGAAATGACACTGTCCTCCTGCTCAGAACGCAGGCCCCTGTGCCCCCAGGAGCTCAGAGCACAGCACCCCACTCCCCTCACCCAGGTGTAGGTCCTGTGGCATCAGGATGCCCGGCACCACCCCTCGCTGAGGCCCAAGGCCACCCATGGGGCTGTTCCCCCTCCCTGGTCCTGGGGAGGCCAAGGGCTCAGCCCAGCAGTTAGGGTTCTTTATCGTGCATCACAAGTAGCAGGAAGCTTGTGGGTAGATGCAGCCCTCAGGTACCAGAAACCTGAGACACACAAGTAGGGGGACGTGCTCACGCCGGCCTCGTGATCAAAGTGCGAAGCCAGGAGAGGCCCAGGCCCACGGCCCCGACTGTGAACAAGCGTGTGCTGGTGGCCAGAGGCCCAGCGCAGAACTGTGGGCAGGGAAAACATCTTAGCTAAAGATAAGGTAAACACCCAAATGTTCACCAGGTAGTGGAGATCATGGGTAATTTTTATATTCTTACTGCTTCTCAGTTTTTTCCAACTTATTATAATCAGAAAAAGAAAGGTAGTAAATGACATTTATTTTTTAAAAATAGAGATGCTTCAACCTCACCATTAATTTTTTTTTTTTTACACCAAACAACAAAACAACAAAAAAGACAAAGCCAGGCATAGTGGTGCCTGGCACACGTCTGTAATCACAGCACTCTGGGAGGCTAAGACAGGAGGATCACGAGTCTGAGCCCAGCCTGGGCAACTCAGCACCTTAGAGAGTCTGTGTCTAAATATTTACTTACTGATACCAGAGAACTGAATCCAGGGCCTCTGCACTGAGCAGAATTCCCAGTTCTTTTAACTTTTTATTTTGAGACAGGGTCTAAGTCACTAAGTTGCAAGGCTGGGCTAGAACTTGCAATCCTCCTGCCCCAGCCTCCTACAGTGCTGTGATTACAGGATGCACCACCACACCCAGTAAAACCCTGTCTAAAAAAAACAGAAAACGGGCCGAGAATACAGTAAGTCTGAACTTGGGAACAAGTTCCACTCTGGGAGAACATGTGTAAATCTCACCAAGCGAGTCTCAGACACCTTTGGCACAATATGCAATGTAAAGCATTAAAGAAAAGCTTCATGCGTCCCATGATCTTGTCCGTGTCCTTTAGAATTGTAGCAACGGTTGAATGATTGATGTTAGAAGAATGAGGGACAGCAACCATTTTTTCTGCCTGACTCGATGTCTTAGTCATTTTCGCTTTTGTTTCCATGGTTATTGTTTTGAGTTCCTGGCCTCCCCTGCACATCGCTGCTGCTTCTGCTCCTGCTTCTGGACACCACAGCAGCTCACAGCAGCATGCTGGGAGAGCCCTGCACACGCCCGGGTGCTTCCGAGATCTGTTCGCATCTACAAGTGTTCATCATCCAAGGTCCGTTCATGTCTGTGAAAGTTTGCAACTCCAGTGTTCGCAAGTAGGGGATTTGCTGTACAGCTCAGTGCAAAGGCCCGGGACTTCAATCCTCCATATGGCCAAAAAGGGGTGAGGATTTCTGCTGTTGACGGTGGGTATACAAGGTATGCATCACTGTAGTTGTTTCTCAGAATGATAGAAACACATAACAATGAGATGATGCCTTTCTTCTTTTAAGTAAACTTGCTGGTTCAAACAGGTTTACACACACGGCGGAGAACGAGCTCTGACAGAGTGGGCCTAGGGCTCGGGGCCCAGCAGCCCACAAAGGTGAGGAGAGGCTAGCGGAAGGGAGGCTGGGGCCACGGGCCCCAGGGAGAAGAAGCCAAGGGCAGCCGCAGAAGAGGGGACAGTAGCTCTGTGGGCCCAGACCGCTTGCTGGGCTGGGGCCAGGTCCCCACTCCCAGCCACAGGAGCCCTCTGGTTGCAGGCCGTTTTCAAACTCACACTTAGGTAGCCGAACACGCAAGGCACGAAGCCCACAGGGCCGTGGCCGCCCTCACACTGTGGCCAGGGCCTTAAGCCCAGGGAAGGGCCAGACTCGTGCAGAGCCGCGCTCTCCAACCTCCGTGCTCTGAGGTCCGGTGTTTGCCCGGCAGCCAGTGCATGAGCAGGCCTGACCTGACCACCCCCCCGCCTTGCACTCACCTCACTGGGCCCTGGGTTGTGCTGGGGTCACGGTGGAAGTCGGGCTGTGGGGCAGGCGCTGCCGGAACTGTGTCCGGCACCAAATAAAATCCCCAGTGCGACAGGTCCGTCACCCATTGTGTCCCTGTGCTGCAGTGCCCTGGCAGTGGGTTCCGGGAACAAATGTTCCAGCCTATCCAGGTCCCTAACCCAGTTTCACCCCCAGATCCCTGTGTGCAGACAGCATCCTGATGGGGCTCTGGGCAGCTTGAATAGTGCTCACTGAAGGAGACAGGGACCACAAGGGAGTGTCAGGCACCTGTTCTGCCTCACCCTCCGGAGGGAGAGCAGTGCCCACCCGCACCCATGGGTGCCAGCCCTGACAGCACTGCCATTTCTCCGGCCAGGGTGGGCACAGGGTGGGAGACACCTTTGAAGCTGTGGGGCGTCCACACCAGCCCACCAGGACCCCAGTGTGAGCAGAATCTCCATCCTTGGGGAGCCAGCCTCCTTTCCAGCACACACTACCAGACAGGAGATCCCACACCTGGAACCACAACGTCCACCTTTGTTTCCGGTTCTGGGGATGGAACCAGGGAAGCTCTCGGCCGCCAGCCATGCCGCCAGCCCTTTTTACTTTATTGAGACAGGGTCTCAATGAGTCGTCAGGACTGGCTCTGAAGTATGGCCCTGCCAGAGTGTCAGGGCCGAGTTCACGACGCCAGCCCAGGGGAGCGCGGGCAAGTAGCTTTAATCCATGTGGCCGTGCTGGGAAGTGCAGACAGAACTGCTCACAATCTGTCCTCGAGGGGCTGAAAGGGCTCTGGAGGTTTACAGAAAAGGGGAACGAAGGTGAGGTTGGAATCTGCACAGCTGGCCACATCTGGCTGCCCTGCTTCTGGCCATTTTCTCCCAGCAGGTCTGAAGGAGCCAGAAGCACTTAGGAGCAACTCTGTTCCCATCATGAGATGATAGCTTCGGGGCGACCTTCCTGTGAGCTGGGAGGTCCGCAGAGCGCTGCTCTTCGTGAATCTGGGGTGACTGCCATCGTAGGACTGATAGGAGATGTCTGAGTGTCCCCACAGGGGTTGTAAAAGTATCCCTGCAAATCCTAGTTACTCAGATGCCAGTGCCCTCAGTCTCAAAAGGGGTAAGGCAGGCTGGGTAAATGTAGGGCTCATGACCTCATGTTCTGGACACTCCTTAAGCGAGTAGCGTGCCTAGCCGCAGAGCTGGACAGGGTCTGACCCCAAGCCTTGAGGTGATAACAGACACAGAAGCAAAGGCAGGCAGCCACACTTCACCCTGCTTTCATGCAGGCCCAGCCCCAAGGGCCCTGTTACACTCCTGCCTCAGCCTCCCACACAGCTGGGGTCACAGGTGTGTGACAGGGCCTCTGGCCAGTGTTCATTTCAATAGGCCTAGTGGCCACTGGGTCAGAATGGACTCTGCAGCTCAGGACCACAGCTACCCAGAGTCAGCCTCATAAGGGTCCAGTCTGGTCAGATTGCAGATTCCTGAGTCTCCTGGGAGGCTCTGGTCTTGCTGCTGCGGTCTCTGCTTTAAGCCCCCTGCATTATTCCAGCCCAGAGCTCAAAAATCTCTGCTCACTGGCCTGGGCTAGGGTGGGCTCTTAGGAGGATGACTGGATACTTTGCCTCCGGGGCAGGGGAACAGTGGTGACATCTAATACTGGGGCGCACACATCGTAGCCCAGGACACCGTCTTCCCTGCAGTCCCGCTTCCGGTTCCCGGGAAGCCCAGAGCTCCACCGGAACACACACTGGCATGGCCAGGGCAGCGCCTGTCATCCTGGGCCACGGGGGCCATCAGGGCTGGCACACTCGGACACAGCAGCAGAGGGGGCTGGCGCTATCGTGAGGGCCAAGTGCCCAGCCTGTGCTTTGGCTCCCGAAGGGCACTGCAGTGCAGGCACAGGCACTCAGGACGACCAGACGATGGAGGACAGCCTGACCTAGGAGACGCAGGCTACCACAGCCCCCGAAAGTGATGGCAGGCATGGGCAGCCTGGGAGGAGAACCCTGCAGGAGCCCTGGGCATGGGCTCAGGCTCTGTGGTGGCCCCAGGAGCCATGCACAGGAGGCTCAGAGCAGAGGAGGAAGGACCCTGAGCAGGAGCCTGGCAGAAGAGCCAGAAACACTGGAAGGAGATCCCCTAGAACAGAACAAAGGGCTGCGGGTGAAGACCGGAGAGGGAAGATGCAGAAGCCAGCGGTCAGCTGGAGGCCCAGCGACGGCAGGGGCAGAGCAGACAGGCCGGGGAGGAAGACACAGGACTCGGGAGAATCAGCAGAAGCAGGGGCTGCAGAGCCCAGCACAGTAGGCAGGGTGGCTGTGCGGACCCAGCAGACAGCCATGCGGGAAGGCAGCTCCATGGGGTGGCTGGCCACACAAAGCTGATGCTGCTGCTCCCTGTCCTCAGCCAGCCTGTCCCCGCTGTAACCCCAGGCAGGTCAATAATGGATGTGGACTAGGCGGGGTGCGCCCCCTGTAGACAGCAGCGGGGGTCTGCAGGCTGCACTGTCAGCGGCAGCTCCCGTCTGCTCCAGGAGACTCTGGGGTCCCCCCCTCCCGACAGTGTGAGTGCCGCTCAGTGTGGGGACCCCTCCCCTGGGCCCTCCCCTGAACCCCATCCCGCCCACCACCCAGCCTGTCCCCAGGAGGCCTCTAGCTTGGCACCCTGAAGGAGGGCCCCAGGGTCCAGAGAAAGAACCCCCGTGGTGTGTGAGGGTCACGCCTGCTCCGTGACAGAAGGAAACAGCTGGGGCAGTCGCTCACACGGGACATCTGTCTGCCATGCTGCCTCGCGCTGTGGCCCTGCTGTGGCCGTAGTACAGCGTGCGCCCGCAGGAACCTCCACACTCACAGAGGTTTGCTCCCCAAGAGGGGTCCCCAAGGCCTGCAGCTCCCACTTTGCAGGGCTGACTGCGCCCCCAGCTGGTCCAAGGGCAGGGAGGACAAGACTGCTGCAGCCTCCTCGGCCTCTTGGGTCAGTACTGCAGGACCAGTGCCCGTCCTTCAGCCTCTTGCCCCACATGAGGAGCCACAGCCAGCTGAAGGGCCTGCAGACATCACCACAGCCTGGCGAGAGCCCCCAGCCCAGCTGAGCTACGTCCCATGCCAGAACCCACAAGAGGCGACAGTGCTGCTGGAAGCCACTGTTTCGGGAACCAGCACCCCACTGTCACTGGGACGGGCCTTGGACAAAGCTCCCTGCTGAGCAGCACCCTCACCTGAGGAGAAACTCCCTCCACTGTGGCTGTCAGGGACATTGACTCCGGAAGGCTCAGTGAGCACCAAAACCGGCAGTCAAAAACCTGCTGGAAAGCGCAGGAGTCATGGCGCGGAGAACCAGACAGAACCGAGGCACAGCTCACTTTGGGATGAGGATGCACCTGTCTGCGAACGTCAGACTATCGTCCCGCGGTCCCAGGGCAGGCACAGGACCGGGTACGACAGAGGGTGCCGGGCTCTGAGAGCCACCACCCGAGACCGGGAGGGACGCCCACCGGCAGGACGGCGTGGCGGGCACCGTGGCACTGCTCCCCCTTCACCCCTGCACCCAGCTCATTTCCCTCCTCCCCACGAGGCCCATGCTCCAGGGAAGGTGAGCATGGCTGACCCAGGCCAGTCACAGGTCCACTCACCTTCCAGGGATCCTGCCGGGAGGTGTGAGGGTGCGGCTGGGGCAGCAAGGAACTGGTGGAGTCGGGGAGCTGGGGCAGCCGGCTCTCCCCTTTCCAGGAGAGCTCCGCCAGGCACCGTGAAGTCCGGGCAGCTTGCAGATCGGGGGAAGATGCTGTGCAGCTCCGAGCTGCACCCACAGTACCGCGAGCTCATGCACTCCTGGCCCAGCTCTCTGTCGTCCCCTGTTCCTCAGGGTCCGGCCAGGCCCTGCAGCGAGAGACATGGCACCAGAGGCCGAGAATCTGGACAGACAGGTTCCACAGCTCAGCTTCGTTCATTCTGCGTGGTTGTCCGTGGTCATCACACCTCACAGTGGAGGCATCTGCTCTCCAGAAAGATGGGTGCGGGTGCGCGAAGCCGCGGGACACCCGGAGGGCAGAGCCTCTCCCCATGGCCACAGCAGCCACAGCTGTGCTGCATGGGCCAGAAACTCCACCGCCCAGATCTCCCCCGGGCTGAGGCAGACCCCCACCTATCCTGCCAGTCAAGCCGACCGCCCTGGTGCTCTGCTGCAGCCTGTCTGTGGGCCATCTGGGTTTCACAACTTTCTTTAAATCCTGGCAAGTAGTATTCACTGGGGTGAGCGAGGAGCAACGCAGACACCAGAAAACAAATTCCCTGACTGACCAGCCCTCCGTCACTCCTGCCCCAAGGGCGCACACGGGGGAGCGGGTGGCGAGCTGCTTGTGACTGGCCTCCCGTACTCAACGCCTCCGGCCCTTGTGGCCCGAGACCCTGTCAGGGAACAAGGCCCTGGGTGAGGCCAGGCAGCACGTGCCAGGCCTGGGCTTGCGGCCGGCTCCAGGTGAGCCCTCAAAACTGCAGGACTCTGCCAGGGGCCTGACCCATGTGCGCTGCTGTCATGGCCTGCAAAGGTGTATTGAAACAAAGCTCCAAGGTGGACATGCCGCATGGGCGCCCAGGGGATGGAGCCCTGTCATGGGCACCCCACTCCCGGCCACACGAGGACCCCTTCCTCCACAGAGCCTGGCTCAACAGCCTCACCAGTGAAGTTATCAAGCACATGGCCACCGTGGCTGGCCATGACTGGGTGGTACCAGTGGGTGGTCTCACACATGGCACACATGCGGGTGAGTGGTGCAGCTGCCAGCTTTGGGGAGCAGCCATGCACAGGCCCAGCAGTGCTAGTCTGGATGCCATTGTCACTACTCTGCCAGTGACCTGTGGCCACAGTGCCTTTGCTGGGACTGGAAAGTCGATCCATTTCCAAGTCCTCCCCTGGCTACCCATGGCCCCTCTGCCTGCCAACTTTGCCAGACACCTAGCCCTGCGTCCCTGCTGCCCCTCTCTGTGCCTCACCGCCCAGTGCCAGACCCAGGGGCCATCTGCTTTTGGATGCAGTGCGCCTTCCTGTCCTGCCACTTGGGCCA